CGAATACGGATAAAGATTATGTAAGATGACATTAAAATTGAGAATCTCTGCTTATCAGAAGACATCATTAAGACAAGGAAAAGGCAAAACACAACCTGAGAAAATTTACTTGCAATAAATATACCTGATAAAAGACTCATATCCAGAATATAAATCTGACAAAAGGACTCCTACAAAACAATAAGAAAAAGGCAAATAGACAATCCAGAAGAAAAACAGATTAGACATGAACAGGCACTTAACAAAAGATGTCCAAATGACTAATAAGCATATGATAAGGTATTACATTTTACTTATCATCAGAGAAATGTAAATAAAAACCTCAATATACATCACTACATACCTACCAGAATATCTAAAATGAAAATAAAGATAGGCAAAATGAAGTGTTGGTGAGGATGAGATATAAATGGAACTCTTAAACACTGTTGATACAAGAAAAAATTGGTGAAATTACATTGGAAAATGTTTAGCAGAGGTATGGGTTGAATTACATATCGCCAAAATTCATATGCTGAAGTTCAAACCCCCAGTACCTCAAAATGTGACCTTATTTGGAAATATGGTCACTGCAGACATAATTACTTAAGATGAAGTCATTAGAGTATCACCAATGTACCGAATATGACTAGTGTCCATACAAAAAAGGAAAATTTGGACCTAGAGACATAAACAGAGGGAAGATAATTTGAATAGAAATAGGAAGAAAACAGTAGCCTACAAGTCAAGAAGAGAGCCCTGGAAAAGACAATTCCTTCACAGCTCTCAAGAGGAATCAACCCTGCCAACACCTTAATTTTGGACTGCTAGCCTCCAAAACTGTGGGAAAATAAATATCTGTTGTTTAAGCCACCTAGTTGCAGTATGCTTTTATGATAGTCCTAGCAAACTAATACAGGCATTATCTACTAAAATGGAATACATGCACACCCTATGATCCAACAATTCTTCTTCGTAGATACACATCAAAGTGTGTATACACGTTCACCAAAAGATTTGTATAAGAACATTCATATCATTACTATTTTATGAGCCCCAAACTAGAAATAACCCAAATGCTCCCAGTGACATGAATAAATTATGGTATATTCACAAGATGGAATTTTACATGGCAATGAGAATGAACGAACTACAACCACATACAAAAACATAGATTGATCTCACAATAATGTTGAGAAAAACAAGATACAAAAGAATATACAATTACAATAATATAGTTGAACGGGCAAAGCAATCTATAATGTTAGAAGTCAGGATAGTGGTTACTTTTCAAGAGAAAGGAAGTAGTAACGATTGGAAGGGATAAGAGGGAGGTTTCTGTGATGCTGGCAATGTTCTATTTCTCGATCTTGGTGATGCTACACTGTGAAAATTCCTCAAGCTGTACATTCACAATCTGTATACCTTTGTCCATGTAAATTACATATCAGTAAAAAATAAAATAAAATAAAAAGTACTTTAAAAAACTGAATAGGTTGGTTAAACAGCAGATTAGACCAGCTGGTTATGAATTGTATAAGAGAACGTGAAAACAGTCATAATGTAATAAACAGAAAATATGTAAGAGACATTAATAGAGGCATAGGATGAAAGAAAAAGGTCAAGTATAAATCTAACTGGAATTGCAGCAGATAAAACAAACGGGGGAGAAGCAATATTTGAAGAGGGAATAGCTGAGAATCTCCTAGAATCAACAAACACAAATCCCAGATTTAAAAGGCACAATAATCCTAAACAGGATAAATAAAAAGAAAACCATACTGAATAAAGTATAGTGAAACTGCAGAACTCCAAAGACGAGAAAATCTTCAAGTCAGATGATGCACAAAGGAACAAAAATTGGACGGATTTTTTTTTTATTTAAAAAAATTTCAAACTCACAGAAAAGCAAAAAAGAATAATTCAATGAGCATACCCCGCAGATTATACCACTCACCAATGAAGACACCCACCAGAATCTACTACTCACTAAATTCACACTGTTAACATTTTGGCTCATCCACTCAAAATGTTTCTGAACATAAGTCCTTCCCTTTTGGGAAAATGTAGAAAGTATAGCACTAACAATAGCACTATTGTTATTGTCTGAAAATTCTTTATCATGCATTTATTAGAAACAAGAACATTCTTCTATTCAATGACAACACCATTACCTCATCTAAGATAATCAACATTAATCCAATAACATCATCTAAATAGAGTCCAGATGAAATTTTCCCAGTGATCTTAAAAGCGTTCCCTAAAGTTTTTCTTTTTACTGATCCAGGATCTAACCAAGGCGTGTGCATTACTTTTAGATGGTATGGTTATTAGAGGTCTCTCTCAATTTAGAGACTTTCCTTGATACACTACTTCCTTTGATTTTGATGACACTGAATCCTTTGAAGAGTCCAAGTCAGTTGGCATGAAAAAATGTTCTACATTCTGGATTAGTTGGACAGTTTCACCATGATTCCCAGATCAAATGTTTCCAGTAAGAACACCACATAAGGTAATGTTATGTCTCTTCTGTGCACCACATTAAGCATGTGGCTATCCCACTATTAGCAATACCAAGCTTGGCCATTTTGTAATTTTTCCCTTTGTGATAAATAAGTCATCTGTAAGGTGCTATTTTGAGACTCAGGGGTATATTATCAATGACAATTATGGAAGCCAGAAGACAGGATACAACCTTCTAAGTGCTAAGAAAAAAATAACTATTAAAGCAGACCTATATTGCCAACGAAAATATTACTGAAGAATGAACTCAAGATAAAATATATCCTGAAATTATTTTTAAATTCTGAAATTATTATTTCATGGTCAAGTAAACAAAAAACTTGATGGGAAACATTTCCCCAGTTTTCATTTGCCAAATAACATAATAAAAACTTTCCGCAACTAACATCATGTTTTCAGAAAAGAAAGGACAATTCTAAGCCTCCAAAAAAGAAGACTTAAGCTCAAAATAAATGAAGGTTCTCTAAAATGAATGAATTTTGCTTTATGAACAGCACAGTTTTTATTTTCTCATTTTGCTACATGTATCCATATTTTGTTAGGACTGGTTAACAGTCCAGGGACAAGTGTTTGGAAATTACTAAGTCTAGCTACGAAAAAGGGAAAAGGCATTTTATTTCACCATTATGAAGAACTCGGTCTTCTTTTCTAACCACAGTAATTAGGATTATAAAATCCATTTTATAGTTAATGAATCTGAAGTATGAATTGTTAAAGAAGCATGCACAGCATCACAGAGATAGTAAGTGGCTCAGATTTAAACCAAGTCTAAACCTAAAGCGTATGTTCTTTCTACTCTGCCATAGTGAGAAGCCCAACCACACAAAATATGAAGTACCTAAAGGAGCTAAAGGCTGTCAAATGGCAGTTTAAAATGTCATTTGTGACTGAATCTTCAGGAATTTGAGGACGGTTAACAATGTGAATATGAAAGAGTACAACTTTTCTAACTCCATAAAAGCAATGGAAATCTACAGAAGCGATGTCTAGGGTGGAGAAACTGAGAAGATGCAGGTGTAAGGTGAAAAACACCAGGTATATAACCTTAAGTGTCAACTAACAGTTATAAATACAAATGTGTACAATATAAACAAACTACTAATACATGAATCTCAATAAGACTACAACAATTTAAAAAAGTTTTTCATAAACAGCACATACAACTGGATTCCATTTATATAAACCACTAAAAACAGGCAAAATAAAAAACATCAGATCAATGTGAGAGTGGGGACTGACTCAGAAAGAGAATGAAGTAACTTTCTAGGATGATGGGTTTGGGTTATAAAAGTATATGCATTTGTCAAGGTTTGTACATTTCATTAATTAAATCACAACAGAAAAAATCTGTAAACAAATAAGAATTCTGGTTAATCATACATATACTTAAGTATATATGAGAAAGTATAATAATGTTTGTAATTTACTTTGAAATAAATGAAAATAATAAAATGGACTGATGGGGTAGAAGGATAGAGGGATGGATTAATAGATAAATACGTGATAGACCAAGCATGGCAAAATGTTAATAATAAACTGCGTGTGTTGACTCTACCAAGCATTTACTCTAACATTCTTTCAATTTCGTTGTATGTTTTTTAAATTGTTCATAATAAAATGTTGAAGAGAAAGTATATGATATATGTGACTGTGGAACTAAGACAATGCTATCCTTAAAAATATAGAAAACCATATAATGGCCCAATTTGATGGAAGAGATCATATAACTATCATGAAGTTTGAAAGAAGTAAAGAAATACAGACAGTACTATAAGGTACTCATAAGACACACCCAGAAGTTGCTAAATCTAAGGTGAAAAATAAAATGAATAAAAATACAATGGATGGGTGCAGTGGCTCATGCCTGTAATCTCAGCACTTTGGGAGGCAAGGCAGAAGGATCACTTGAGCCCAGGAGTTTGACCAGCCTGGGCAACATGGTGAAAACCCATCCCTAAAAAAAACAAAACAAAAACAAAAATTACCCGGGTGTGGTGTGCACCCCATAGTTCCAGCTATTCAGGAGGCTGATGTGGCAGAATCACTTAAACCCAAGAGACAGAGGTTGCAGTGAGCCAAGATCATGCCACTACACTCCAGCCTGGGTAAAAGGGCAGAGTCTGTTAAAAAAAAAAAAAAAAAAAAAAAAATCCTTCTGGTAAGAGACCAAAAAAACAAAAAACGATGGAAATAAGTTGAATTAGTTTCATGTGAAAGCAACATTCTAGAAAACTGTCAATATATGAGTTGCTGAGAATATCTGATAACTGAAATAATTAAGATAACTGAACATACTTTCTCTTAAGAAATCACAATTGGTTCGGCATATTTCAACATGAAGTATAAGTCAACCATAGTAAATGGATAAAGCTAACTTAGTCACAATCAATTCTACCAAAAAAAGATTGTTTGAAAAGAATAGTTTGAACAGAACTTTGTTTTTAATACACTTGCCAGGAATTTAACATTTTTAGCATGTCTTAAAAGAAGAATTTTACCTGCCATTTCTTTTGAGGGCAAAAATGATGCCATCTTTCTGGAATGGAAGCAGCTTTGCTCTTAGTCTGTCAGGCAAGAAGTCCAGCAGTTTATCTGATTCACTTGTCACACAAGAAATGTGAGGTGTGAGAGACTTTTTTATGTTATGAACCCTAGGCATGATGATCCTAAAAAACAAAGAAACAACAAAAAAGGGAGGGGTATAAGAAATAGATACTACTAAGTATGTTACAGAATCACATATAAATAATATTAAAGCACTTATTAATAGCTTTGACATACCATTTATATAAACTAAATCATATTCTCACAGTAAGCTACTAAGAAAATTCACAGCACTGAGTTTGAAAACAATCACTTAATGCACTCTCTAGGAACTCAGCATGCACTATTTCAAGCCCTAATACCATACACCAGCTTAACGCCACAAATGTATTACTAATAAATTACAAATAAAACTACATTTTCCACAAATTGGATAATTTTTAAAATAAGGGATGAATCTGCTAGAGAAAGATGAGTCCTTTAATAATTTATCCTTTTATGGATCCACATTTTCATATCACACCAGATTTTCTAAAAGTGAGGTAAAGCTGCATTTTAAAAAATTATAAAATACAAAGACATTAACTACAAAATCAAATTTATCGTAATTAATGTATTATTAAATTGTTTAAATATTAAAATTAATTTTTTAAATGAGCTGAATCCACAGTATAACTCTGCCTGATTAACACCTTTCTCACCCCCTGGTTTTCCACAGATGTTATTTTAATTTTCTATGACATAAAAATTTCATGTATCTGTAAATTCTTATAAATTAAATCATATTCTCACTGAAAGAAAATGTCCTATCATACCACTACACTACAATGCCTATCAAATAATAATATTTTGTATTTAGATGGTACCCTGCCTTCTGTTTATATATTATCTCATTTCATCTTTTAAAAAAAGTTTGCAGGCCAGGCGCAGTGGCTCACGCCTGTAATCCCAGCAGTCTGGGAGGCCGAGGTGGGTGGATCACGAGGTCAGGAGTTAGAGACCAGCCTGGTCAATGTGGCGAAACATTGTCTCTACTAAAAATACAAAAATTAGCTGGGTGTGGTGGCACATGCCTGTAATCCTGGCATGACAATCACTTGAACTCAGGAGGAGGAAGTTGCAGTGAGCTGAGATCACACCACTGCACTCCAGCTTGGGTAACAGAGCGAGACTCCATCTCAAAAATAAAGAAAAAAAAAAAAGCCAATATGGCTGATGACCCAAAGGAGGGAATGGTATAAGATGAAGCTACCGAGATAAACAAGAGCCAAATCATATACAGCCTTGATAATAACTTTGGATTCCTTTTTAAGAAGGAAGGAATGCTAATGGAGTTTGCTGTCCTATACACCATTAACCAAATGGGACTATTTAAATTTCAAAATTCGGTTCTCCAGTTTCACCAGCCATGTTTCAAGGGCTCAACAGTAACATATGTCTGGTCCAAGCTATGATATTTAATAGTAAAGATACAGAACATTTCTCTCTTCACTCAAAGTTCTATTGGACAGTACTCCATGGAAGGTTTAAACAGGGGAATGACACAATCTGAATTACATTTCAAAAAACACCTGAAGGAAACAAAGATATTAATAAGGAGCCAGGAGATAAATATTCTTACAGGATTTGGCCAGTCACCAAAGCCTCCACTGCTTCAGTAGGCAACCGAATTTAGAAATGATTTATGAGTCAGTTCTGTCTGAATAAGGTCCTCATAAACACTTATGAGTGGGCCTCCATAGGACCCTCTCAACACCACCACCCCCGTAACAAAACTTAGCAAGGAATAGAGAATGGAGCAAAAACGGAAAGCATGAAAGCAGAAAAACTGTTTTCAGGTTGCAACAGACAAGGCTAAAAACCTTTAACAGTGAAACTGAAAAGATTCAGGAAGTGTATCAGAGGTAAAGCAAACAGCACCTGCTGATGCAGTACACGTAGAGAATAAGAGAAACGTAGAATCAAAATGTGGCCCTAGAGTGATGGAGTGAGTTAGTGATGCAATTGGCTGGGATAGTGAGGACTACAGAATAAATAAATAGGGGAGAAAAATGATCAATAGATATCCTTTGAGATGGTTATAAGATACGAAGTGGAAATGTCAGGTATGCTTGAAAATATATGAGCCTAAGTTCCTATAGGGAGAGATAGAGGCTGGATACACATGAGAAATATCACTTTCCCAGCCTGCCTTGGAGCTACTAATCAGATATACCTAAGTCAAAACTCAAAGGAGCAGAGATTAAGTAAAATTCATTCTGGCAAGGCTAACAGCAGCAGAAAACCATGTCCACTTTCCAGAAGTAACAGGAGTTTCAGAAGCACTTTTTAGGGTCAATGGGATGAAGGATGCAATGTTTCAGGGTGGAACACTGGCAAGAAGTAAAAACTTAAAATAATTTTGCTGTTTATCATCTTTATTTAAGACTCCTTTTTTTTTTTTCTTTGCTGGGTGCAGTGGCTCATCACTGTAATCCCAACACTTTGGGAGGTTGAGGCAGGAGAATAGTTTGAGGACAGGAGCTGAAGATCAGCCAGGGCAAATATCGAGATCCTGTTGCTTACAAATGATCATAAAATTAGCCGGTTGTGAGGGTGCATGCCTGTAGTCCCAACTACTTGGGAGGCTTGAGAGGACTGCTTAAGCCCAGGAATTGGAACTATGATCTTGTCACTGCACTTGGGAGGGGAGGGGAGGGGAGGGGAGGGGAGGGAAGGGGAACGGAAAGGAAAGGAAAAGAAAAGAAGAAAGAGAGAGGGGGAGAGGGAGAATAACAAAACAAAGCAAAACGACTCCTTTGCACTTTACAATTTTACTAAAAATTTTAATAGACACGCCAAAAAAATGTGGTAACTTGGGGTCACTCTGCCGCTTACATGATTTATTTTTATGAGGACTGACTCAGGCACAATATTTGTAAAAATAAACAATGAAACTAAAGTTATATTAATCAAAAATTTGTTTTAATAGTCACAAATAAGAGAAAAAATAGTTATTTAAATGTGAAGATTAAAGAAATCTAAAACATTATGAAAATGTACAGGAAAAAATTTCAGCTGAACTTAAGATTATAGTGTGGCTCATTGATGATTTAAGTAGATATTTGGATACATAAAGAACTTAAAAACATGTAGTGGTACAATCTAATGAATAGAACATGAATGTTTTTGTTAATCCTAAAAATAATTTTTAAAATATTATTTTCTATTTATAGGATCTAAAGTAAAAAAGGTATAACAACGAATATCTCATGTAGGTTCGGCCACATAGATTTAATTGCTACAAAAAGTCAGTTGTAACCAACATTACATTAATAAAAGAAGATGCAGATTTTATCTTCATTCTAGATTACCAAGAAATTAACAGTTATAATAATGTGCATACCTCTTTAATCATGAATACTGTATTCAGTTCACAGGTTTAGCTTAAAAGGTTTATTCAATATATGTATATTAATTTACTTGCAGTAAGGCGGGGGAAGCCTATCAAAATGAAACCAGCAATACATACTTTTTAAAAAATTTTTCTTCTGGAAAGATTTTAATAATCATTGACCATTTCCAAGAAACACCCACTGCATGCCCATCAATTAAAGAGAACCATAACAAAACAGAAAATTTACCATATGGCTATGAGTTAAAGAAAAAATAATGTGGACAGGAGCACATCAGCAAAGTCCATTTAAAGTCACATTCCTTCTTACGGGCTATGAATAGGAGTCTGATTAGACACCAGAATAAAACTTACTACAAATGCTGAACCATTTAGGTCAAAGAACCTCTAGAGAAGCATCTGTCTTCAAAGGGATTCTAGCTTGAGACTCAATTTTAGAATAAGATATAACAGACATGTTAACAGAAGACATACAAGATGATAAAAGAGGGTTTCTACAATTCCCCACATACCCTGAACCTAATACAACAAAACCAGATATTAAAAAATTATTTTTCTTTAAACAATTGCCAAATCTAAAAGATAAACAGAAGGCACAACAGTTTTGTTACGGTTGTTATCTGGGTTTTGGGAATATTTTGTCTTTTGTTTTTTTACAAATACAAATTAAACATGAAAAAACTCTACTTCAAAAAAACTAACAGTTCAAGAAAAGCCTATCTAGTTGCATTCTAGACATTTAAAACCTATATCACAATTGAAATTTCAATGGTAAAAACAGTAGGTTTTAGAACTGTTTTGTGATCCTACATCAGAAGAAAAATTCTATTCCTTTATTCAGTTTTTAAACATACCAGCGAGAATCAAAATTGTCAAATTTTCCAAATTTTAAACATACCAGTCAGAATCAAAATTGGCAAATTTTCCAAACCCACTGTAAAAACAGGTTTTAGAAATGTTTCATGATCCTATATCAAAACAAAAATTATATTCCTTTTATTCAGTTTTTAAACATTACCAGTGAGAATCAAAATTGTCAAATTTTCCAATGGCAGTTTCTCCACACCAGAAAGTGGTCATGACTCTCAAAGAAGAAACAGTTTGGGGTTTTCCTGCCTTCAAAATGTTATCAAATCCTGTATTTCTCACAGGCTTTTGAAAACACAGAAAGTAAGAAATATTCCAATGAATGAAATGTACCAAATGTCAGCAATAACGCAAGACACATTCCTTTGGGGAAATGGCTGTTAGAAAAAAAATCCAGTCTGTATGTGCAAAATAAGCAAGGAAATTTGGTCTTTTTTTCTTCTTCTTCTTCTTCTTTAAAAATCCATTACTCCTAAAATATCATTCCACAAAATTGGAAGTGAAAGACTAAAGGCCAGGAAAGGGAAGAGAGGGAGAAGGAGCACACACCATTAACACACAAAAGAAGTAAAATTATACTAACTAAAGCAGTTTATAACAAACTGGGGTCATACTCCAAGATACCAAAGGCTGGTCGAAGAAATTCACCATTCTGTAGGAACTAGGGTTCATATGGCCGCCTGAAGATCCATGAAGATTCACTGCCGTGGAGCAAGCCACCTTCCCACTCCAAATCCTGCTTTCTGTACCATGCCTCCACAGGGAGGGCCTCTCATTCCACCACCCAGCCCACCTAAAGGGCCTCCAGGTCCACAAAGGTGATCATCTCGTGGGTCCCCTTCCCTGGCAGCTTGAGTCTTC